TCCACGAGTTCTGCCAGCTCAGTGGCGCCTGGCACTTCTGTTGTTAATCCAGGGACAGCGAGCCCAACAGGTCATGAGGTGGACAGTGACGTCTTGATGGCCAGGAACTGAAGCCCAAACGGTGCTGTTGTGGGCGAGCCTCCGTCCTCGGTGGCCAGGACCCGGCTGGGTTTACATCTTCCTCTTACATCCCTTCCTGAGGGCGCTCTGCACCGGACGCCACAGGCAGGTCAGCGTGGAACAACCAGCGAGCTCTCCTGGGGAGGACAACGCGGCTCCGTGGTCTCTCTCCAGGGAAAGGGGCACGTCACTCAGTCACCATCGTCCCATCGTGGCACAGTCAGAGGGGCGAGATGTTCCGGGTGCGGGCTCTCCGTGCCCCCAGACTCCAGGCTGACCTCTCGACCACAGCGGGCGAAAGGACACCGACACTTCTCTTGCAGGCTCATGTGGGGCGCACCCTGCAGCCCTGCGCCTCCTGCTTTGCCAATGGAGCGTCTGCAGTGGCTGGAAAGCTGCGCCCCGTCTCCCTGAACTTGCAGGGTCTGCTGTGCTGACGGGGATGCCAGAGGAGACGCCGGGAAATGGTTTGGAGAGAAAGGCCAGCAGCAGCTGCGAAGGCAGAACCAGCCGTCAGGAGGCGGCCCGCTCCCCTCGGCTCCTCCGGGCAGCAGCTCGCTTTACATCCCGGAGCTCCATGATCACACGCTCTCAGCCTCCACCTCCCGGGCCTCGGAGGAGGGCGAGGATGGCCTCAGAGCCTCGGCCTCCACCTGCCCGCAGGGCCCTCAGATCACCTGGCTGCTTCGCCCACAGCAAGTCAGCCAGGTCAGTGGACTCTCTCGGGGAGGTTCTAGCTGCTAGAACCTCCCCCCACAGGGGGTCCGAATGCCCAGCCAGAGCAGGAACCATCCCCTTAAGGGGACCCTTCATGCCAGGGCTTATCACCTCCGCTGTGATGGGAGCCTCTGGGAGCTTTAACCACCGGAAATCCCGTTTAACGGGCTCGGGAGCAGCCTGGGCAGAAGGATTTTTATTTTTAAAATATATTTTTATTGATTTCAGAGAGAGGAAGGGAGAGGGAGAGGGAGGGGGGAGAGAGAGAGAAACATCAGTGATGAGAGAGAATCATTGATTGGTCTCCTCCTGCACTCCCCCACAGGGTTTTTAAAATATATTTTTATTGATTTCAGAGAGAGGAAGGGAGAGGGAGCGGGAGGGGGGAGAGAGAGAGAAACATCAGTGATGAGAGAGAATCATTGGTTGGTCTCCTCCTGCACTCCCCCACAGGGAATCGAGCCTGCAACCCGGGCATGCACCCTCACCAGAAATCAAACCCTGACCTCCTGGTTCATAGGTCCACACTCAACCACTGAGCCGCACCGGCCAGGCGACAGCAGGATTTTGCAAGGCTCCCCGGTGAGTGTGATGTTCAGCCCTGGGTGAACCATTGCTCTGATGCTTCTATCCTTTTGCTGTAAAGCAAGCCCGGGAGCTCCGGGCCCCCGGCTGGAAGGAGCCCTCAGTCTGGCACGGCATCTGCAGGTGGGGAAAGGGCCTGGGAGTTAGCCGGCAGGTGGGCCCCTAGGAACGGCTTCTTGTCCTTCAAGCGGAGCCAGAGTCCCGGGCTCTGCGGCGCTTTCAACCCGAATGAGCCTTCCGTGCATGTTCTCGTTTGAACGTGGCCGTGGGGGAGCATTTGTGCTTCTTGGAATTTCTAGTTCCTCATCTGTAACCGGCCGAGTGGTGCGCGTGGTTGCTGGGCTCGGGGTTCAGGTCCTGAGCTCTGGGCCTTTCCACCTGAGCTGCCTACGGCACACAGTGGACGGCCAGGGGTGGGGGTGGGGGGCTGCAGGGGGCAGGCGCTGGTGTTCTCTCTGCAGAAACGGAGCATCCAGCGCCCTGGCCGGTGTGGCTCAGTGGATAGAGCATCGGCCTGTGGACTGAAGGGTCCCGGGTTTGATTCTGGTCAAAGGGCATGAACCACAGTTGCAGGCTTGATCCCTGGTCCTGGTCCGGGCTAGTGTGGGAGGCAGCCAGTCCACGTCTCTCTCTCTCTGTCTCTCCTCTCCCTTCCATTCTCTCTAAAAATATCCTTAGGTGACATTTCCAGAGGGTCCCGCGGAGGTTACAAATCATGGCGTCAGGCTTTGGCATTTGAGCGGCGGGTTGGGAGGGCAGGGCTGCCTGCAAGGCCAGACCAGCTGGGTGGCACCGGGCAGCTGCGGGAGGCTGGCTCCTCTGGAGGCCGGTGACCTCAGCTTGACCTCCTCGGTGACACCTGGAACGCGCCTGGCCGGGCCTGGGCTTTGGCTCTGGAAGGCTCGGTCTCTCTGGGTCTGGGATGGAGCCCGGATGCGGAGTGAACCAAGCAGGTCCCTTTATGCAGAGGGATTTCAGAGTCAGCAGGAGCTCGCCTCCCACTCACCCCACGTGGAAGCTACTGGAGGATGTGCCCCAGCAACATGAGGATGGAAATCAGGTTAGAGAAAAGCACAGGGTCCGGGAGCGGAGCTGCAACCCCAGGAAAACAGTGAGGGGGCCCCGGAGTGACCGGGAGGGAAGCAGCATGGAAAGGAGGGCTCAGGCCAGAGCAAGAGAGAGGCCTCCAAAAAATTAATAATAATAATAATAACGGCTCCTAATAAATGTACGAGGAGGCCAGGACTTTGAAGGATCAGCGGGGAGAGGGAAGGACTTTGGGAGGGGAAGGGGCAGAAAAGCCCGAGAGGGACAGAGCAGGGTGCTGAGGGGCCGGAGAGCAGGACTGGAGGGGGCGGCGAGGCTAAAGCTAGAGCAGGCTTTTCTCCAAACCCCCCAGCCCAGGAGCTGGTGGGCACAGCAGCCCCCCCCAGCCCAGGAGCCAGTGG